ACTTCGTCAAATATAAACAAAGACCTTGGGCACTTGGAAACAATTTCAGTTATCCAGTTTTTTAGTTTCATTTAGTCCTTTTCTAGCTCGGCTTTCTCATGCTTGAAGTCATGGCTGCCAATAATCAGCTTCACATACTGGCTGGATAATCCTTTTTTGTAGATACTCTCGACAATGATTTGGCCGGCATAGTTCTTGCCTGTTCCAGTCATACCGTTGAAGGACATTACCAGAGCTTTTTTAGGTGTCTTGTTATCTAGGTGTCCCTTGATTGCCTTGAAGATTATGTCTGAAGCCAAGTGCTGACCGTACAAGCGTCGATTCAAGTCGTAAAAAAGTTTTGTTTCGTCGAGAGAGACCCAATCAGGATTACAGTGCTCCAACGGTTTGAATTGTCCATTTGCAATCCTGACTAGAAGAGCAAGAGAAAAATAATAATACAAGAAATTCGCCATGGTACAGTTTTCACCAAGCGAGCTACTAGCTTGCTTATAAGACTTCAGGTCTTCGAGAACTAAAGAAGTTTTGGCCAATCAAAACGTTACTCAAGTATGGACGGCTGCACAAGTTGGATGACATGACGCGTGGCGTCTTCCGAACTTTGCAAGAAAAACTAGCTAGTTTATCAAACTTCAGGTATTCGAGAACTAAAGAAGTTTTAGCCAATCAAAAAGTTACTCATGTCGGGGCAGCTGCTCAAGATGGATGACGTGACCATTGGCGTCTTCCGACTGATTCCAAGAAAAACTCAATTTTCTACAAGTCGATAGAATTGGCCATTTGCAATTCCACCAATGAGAAGAAGAAGTTGTTTATCAAACTTCTAATTCAGGTCGTCGAGAACAAAGAGCAGTTTTTGGCAAATCATGTAGTTACTCAAGTCGGGGCAGCTGCACGTTGGGTGATGTGACGTATGTCATYTTCCGATCTTTCCAAGAAAAAAACTTTATAAAAAGTGCAGTTTTGATTGGTCGAAATCGTACCTCGTGATCAAAAAAAAGAAGAAAACACAAGCTTAAGAAAACATTTAATAATATAACAAAATGGCGCGTACTTTACACGATTCTTCCTCTTGTACCAAACATATAACAGCAAAACAACCATTTGAAACAGTGATCAAACTTTAAAAAGAATTTGTGCCATATAATATAAGTAATTGGTTTTGGAGTCCTGTAGCAGAAAAGGCCAAAACATTTTTATGTCGGGGCTCTTGAGAACAGCTAAAGATCGGGTAAATGTAAAGAAAGAAATAATACTCAAGGGAATGACAAGTGGTCTGAAATGGGAAAGCTTTGCACCATAGCTGAAAAGCATTCCTAGTAAAGAAAGAAATTATACTCAAGGGAATGACACAGCGTCTGAAATGGGAATGTATTTTGAGAATAATTTTAATTCGTTATATATAAAAACTTGAAGATTTTATAACTAATTTGAAGGGAATACAAAATAAAGTATCATTAATTCAGTTTAGATATTTAGTACAATATTACATATATATACTCCAGTTTGGAATTTTCTGTTCAGTACTCGGTTAGTCTCGATTTCGTATGGGATTACGTTCAATATTCAGTGAAGGTTCGTGGAATTTAAAAAGTTTGTATTGTCGAAGTTGTGCATTCTTTACTTTATCGTTGGTATTTGTGAATAAATCGTACATTGAAATGAGGCTGTATGAACGAGGTAATAAGATATTAAGTACCTAAAATCTCAATACTATACAAGGGTCTATCTGTCTGTACCCTTACTTAACAGCCATTACTATTCAAGGGTATATCTGTCTGTATGCTTACCTAAAATCCCAATACTATTCAAGGGTATATCTGTCTGTATGCTTACCTAAAATCCCAATAC